TTTTGAGTTGGCCGATGGTATCTACTCAGTACCCGTGTTTTGTACTGACCCCTACTTTTATGTTTTCTTCTTGTTTATTTGTGAAGTGCAGCAAACGTGCCATGGTCTTCAACTCAACAGTAATTTAAGTCAGTCTTACTACATCGGAAATTCAGGGTGAGCTAATGCTTCTAGCTTGGACTGGATCTTCTTCTTCAAGTCTTGATGCCTTGAACTTCCGGCATGGACTAGCTTCTTATGTATTTTTAGGTTTTAGAATACTCTTAGTTTACTCATTTGATTGTAGATGTTCTTGTGATGATGACTTCCAGATTTTGGGAATAATGATAAGTTTTGAGTTTTAAAAGTTGATTATTGAATTCGCTAATGAGTTTTAAGTCTTTCGCATTATTTTCTATTATTTTGTTCGAAACGTTGGAGTTCAGATTGGTTGGTTCGCTCACATAGGAGGGTAAGTGTGGGTGCCAGTCGCGGCCCGGATTTGGGTTGTGACACAAGGGTGCTACTATATTTTGACACCCCATTCATATGAGATACAAACTTTCATTAAGATTTTAAATACTCAACATCCACAAATAATTATAGGATAAATGCACTCACATCTTAGGGATTGACTAAAATTCATAGTAGTGCTTCTCACAACATGTCATCATATGATTTGTTCTTCTCATTGAACCTTGTTATAGGATCTGTAGTTCCCAAGTTGGGTTTCCTCATATATGACTCAGAATTTATGATCTTCAATTTTCATCCCCCTCAATGTGGTTCAGACACTTTATCTTGCTAAGGCCTTGGTTAATGAATCTTCAAGATTATCACAAGTTTTAACACAATCAACATTGATTGTATACAAACGATGAATATGATCTTGCAATATTGTGTTTTTTCTCCTCATGAGTCTAAATATACCGTTTTAATAAAGATTTTTTATTAAACCACTATATTGGTGCTTTCACATTTGATCAAAATTAGAAAAATTATTTTTTCAAAATAAAGTGTTTCAATTCACTTTTTCACTAGTTTAAGTTTAATTTATTTATTGTTTTTACTTCAACCTTCATAATAGAGATAGCAAAATTAATTTGATTCATCACACTAAATAACACGCATTTTATTTCTCATCTAGTTTGCTTGTACATTAAAAGTACTTTTAATGCAAACATATTATCAAGTCAAGTTGTTAGTTACAGCTCATATTTTTATTAGACTAGCAAAGTTCATTTGTTTTTATTTGCCACAACTTTCTTATACAATTGAATCAAAAGAAGTTGCAAGACTCACACAACCAACAAAATTGGATTTCCATACTATCTGACTTGACAAGGAAAATTTCATCACATGTTTAATGGTTTTATTTTTTTCATTATAAGAACAAAATTAATCTTACCATATGTACATGACTACTCAAAATGGTTTTCATAATTTATTTAAAATTCTCATGTTAGATCTAAAAATCATCACATTATAGCCAAATAATAACATGTTATTTATTCCACAATTAATATATATGCACTTGTAACACAATCTTATAGCATTTTTTCAAATATGCAAAACTCACAATTTCACAAATATTTATTTTTATTTCATGAATCCCCACTATTTGAAAAATTCAAACATCTTTTTTTTCATAAAAATCTTATTCCATTTATTACTGAAAATACTATGTAAATCTTTTGTCTTTACCTTTTCTCCACTTTTGAGCAAGTAAAAAAATACTTACTGTACACATCTTCTCTTCCATCTCTTGAAGAGAGCGACATTTTAGCGGAATGATGTTGAGCTCCCTATCTTGATATCCACATTTTTTCAAATTAGCAAAACATGAATCTCCTTAAAATTGTTGGTATAATATATTAAAAATGCAATAAATTAAAATTGAATAAAAATGACCAAAAATGTATAAACAAATCTTTTGGATGAGACACGGATATTTCGCTATCTTTAAGGAGATTCAAGCCTACAACGGCATAATCTACACTGGTCCAACAATATAAATCTTGACTTTTCTCCTCCATGATTCATCAACCCAACCACAATGTATAACACAAACAACTCTAGATTAGTTGAAGAGTCCAATGCTCCACAAAAGAACACCTTCATTCAACATATAATACTTTCTTTTGTATACTGAATATAGTTAAACACTTAGAACATTTTATATATCTCAACTCTCTCTTTCTGTACATAAACCTAAATATAATATAACTCATCTTTTTTACTCTATATTTTTTTGGACTTCTGTTGTTTCGTCTTGTATCTCAACACAAATGAAGACTACAAAATTTATAGGTGATGAATTCTTCCTTGCAATGAAAAGGATATAGTGGATAGTAAAGTTGTCAATCGAATAGCTCAAATTTTACATAAATTACTAGACATAAGTATAAACCAATGGATGAACTGAAGAGTTGGTGGTTACATAAGTTACTAGAAACTAATGATCATTTTCTTCCACAATTGATGAAAGAAAGGATGCACAAATGTAATGTCCATCAATAGACATAGCATGATCTATATAATATATATTTTTATTAATATTAAAATGACACACCAACACAAACAACGTTTCAATGTAATCTCATGATTCCATATCATGCTACCATTTCAAAATTCCATATCATGATACCAAATCGCATGGCCAAACGGGAAGTAACTTCTGATGTATAATTATAGCATTCTTATACTTCTACTTATGTCTCTTCAATCAGTTATATGAGTGTGAATAAGTTTTCTTTTCCATTTCTCGTTTTTTCATTGTTTTCTATTTATTTGTAATACGTCAACCAAAAGAAATATATATAATGTAATTTTTTAGTGAAGGGGTGTAGCTTAACACTCTTGCCCCTAGGGTAGCTTTGCCTATGGAGGTCCACTGTAACTTAATCATATCTTGAGGAGGTATCCAAAATTATCTCTAAATTTATTAAAAAGAAAATGAAAAATATACATATACTCATCAACATTAAGAAGATAATATCTCACATGATCCCTCAACTAAGAGTTTTTTCTTAGAAAGTCACTCAACTCTTTTTCATAACCTCAAAGTCACCCAATTATAAAATTTTACCTACACAGTTGTCAAACCTAATTAATTGATTTGGCATTTGAATTTTCTGACATGAAACTTTTTTAAAATCTAAATTGTAAGAGATAAAAAGGATATCCGTATAAATTGTTTAATAATTTTCCCTGCAAAAAATATATTTTTACTCATTTCTCTCCTAAAAGTATAAATATGCATCTTACTTTTAATTGTCATTTATATTTTCAAAAGTTAATTTTACTAATTTTAAAGTTATATTAGAGTACATTAATTCGTTATTTTAAATAAAAAATGTCAAAGTTATACGAAAATAATATATATTCTAATTTCTTGCATAATATGATGAAAAAGTACATCATAAAATCTTAGTCAAAGTTATTACTCCCTTTGTCTATTTTTATCTGTCATGTTGCACTTTTCGAAAATCAATTCGACTAATTTCAAAGATAAATTAGATCACATTAATTTGATATTTAAACATAGTTTAAATATTAAAACACTATAAGAAAAGTACTATAAATGGCTATTTTTTTGCATACCAATATGATGAAAAAATACACTTAAAATATAGTCAAAATATCAATAGTTTGACTCTAAAAAGATAAATCATGACAATTAAATGTGAACGGATATAGTTGAAGAAAGGTATCATACATATATTGGACCCTAATCTCGGATTCAAATTTTAACTTTGACCTTCAACTTTCATAATGCACAAACAGACTCTTTAACTATCCAACTTTTCATTAAAACAAACACATGAGTCCTACATGGCACAATATACGTAGGACACCAAGTAGGATAAAAAATGACATGTACGATATGTGTGTCTATTTGTTCAACATTATACAAGTTTTAGTGTCTCTATGTGCACATTCAAACATGAAGGGCATAAATGTAATTTGAAGAAAAGTTAAAGGGCACATTTATGTATTATGCCTAAAATAAAATTATAACAATTAATAATTAATGAAAATAGTAATATAAAAAGAAGGCATAATACATATATTTGACCCTAAACTTGGCTTCAACTTTTTACTTTGACCTCCAACATTATTAATGCACAAACAAACACTTTAACTATCTAACTTTTAAATAAATAAACACATGCGTACTACATGGCACAATACATTTAGGACACCACGGAGGACCAAAAAAACGTTTAGGACAGATGTGTCAATTTGTTCAACTTTATATAAGTTTAAGTGTCTATTTGTTCAAATCCAAAGTTGAAGAAAGTGAAATGGCACATTTATGTATTATGCCTAAAAAGAACAATGACTAGTCATTTAATGTCCCTCCACTAATTGGCAGCTCAATTGGAGGGATGTAACAACATGAAAATAACTATGGTAAGTAATGCTTAAACGTACGTAGAATGCATGGATTAGACCAGGTTCACACGACTTGTTGCGCGTAGAACCAGAACTCAGAACCTATGCACTAGCCCAGAGAACCAACTTGGTGAGTTAGTTGAGATAGGAAAGGTGAGAACCAGTCTTGTAGGGCACCCGAATTGAAGAGATTCACCCGGATTAGTTTTATCGGACTTAAATGAAGTAATCATAGGTTTAGAGGGTCTAGGTGTAAAATGAGCTTTTCCAAGATAGGGGTAGTATTGTAATTACCCTTATTATTTAATTTATTAAATAATTATTTTAAAGAGGAGGGGTAATTCGGGTAGGGTTGGACGATATTGATCCTTTTTCGCAAGTTAGGTTTCACCCATGTTCGAGCCTTGGTGGAAGCAACATTTAGGTGCATTAAATTGATGATTATAATTTGATTTTGTAAGGTCGTACTGGTCATTTCGCTTAACCTTTGGAAAAAATATGATTTTTAAACAATCAAGAGAAATCCTAATTTGACTAAGTCTCCACCTAATCTCCTAATCCTAAGCTAACTCATTCTCACTTCTCTCTCTACTCTTACCTTATTTACACACTCAACATTCTGTAAAACAAAAGAACAGAACAAAAATATGACAAAGTTCATCTACATTTAAGAACTTGATACCCTCAAAATCAAAAGTAAAATAAGTTTATAAACAAAATGTGAAAATTAATTTCACGGCGGATTGTGCTTCTGATTTTGGTGGTGAGACGTTCGTTAAGTGGGGATTTTTGCAGCACATAAGAACATCGTTGATCGACTTCAGGTATGGGTTCTATTCCCTCTTGGTCCCTTTCCCATGAAACCCCTAAGGTTAAGACTACTCACAATCAAAAACTAAGGTTGTCCCCGTTGCATGCCCCTGTCATTAGATCTTTTGAAAGATTTAAGTATGTGTGTGTATGACTTTTGGTAGTTTTTTTTAGGGCTGGTTGTTATTATGTGATTGAATGTGTGCAGAATTATGTAGAAATGAAAGAAGTAATTCCGAAAATGTGTGATATGCTAACTTGTGCTTGCACGTGTGTACTGAGCTTTTCGTCTTGACTTGAAGCATAAAATTTGACATGTTAAATTGTTGTATTTTATGTGTATGAATATGTTAAAAATGTGACGTTCATATGAGGTCAAAGTTGCTGAATTGAATGATAATTCTTGACTGAAAATAACCTTGAAAATGCAACTAAAGATCTCCCTAAAAACTACTCGAAATGTCTTGACGTTTAACGTGAAAGAGGGTGAGAAAATGAACTGCAAAAAGGTGATCAAATTACCAAAATTAACCATGAAAACTCACCTAAAGATGTACTAGATTCTACATGAAAATTGTTCTAAATGTAAAATATAAATGTTGAGAAAATTGATTGCGAAAAGGTAAACAAATTTCAAGCATTCTGGAAATTTGTTTCGGCAGCTTAGTGTTAAAAATTTTTGTTTTATTATTTTTAAAAAATGCATGAGGTAAGTGGGGATTGAACCCAAAACCTCACCATATACAAGTAATAAAAAATGAAATAATAAAAAGAGGTGAGGGGGATTCAGAAGGGGGAAATCTCAAGTGAAAAGTTAGGAGAAAAATGAAAGAAAAAGAAGTGAGGCGTGTGGAGTTCGAACCCACAACCTCTTGGATGGGTGAAGGAGAGAGGAGAAAAATGAAATAAAAAAATAATGAAATGAGGTATGTGGGTATCGAACCCACAACCTCTAGGCTGAATGAAGAGAATTAAGGATAAAACTAAAATGGGGCTTTGGGGGTTCGATCCCACACCCTCTTAGTTTAAACGAAGGAATCAAGTAATGAGAGAAAAAGAAAAGGATGTGGGCCTGGGTATTTGATCTTGGGTTCCCCAGGCCGAAATGTTTAAGACAATCTGGATCTACCCCTAAAAATCAGTTCACTAAATGAAATTTCTACGGGAGTATATTTATACTAAAAGATTAATAAGCAAAACAGAGTGGCTAGATGAGCATTGGCTAGTCAAAGTGAGAAAAGCGGTAAGTACGCCTAGAATTGATGTCCCTCAATGTAAACTCCAAGAAAGCATATCTATGTTATACGATGAACAAATAATGAAAGGTGAGTTAAGATGAAACAATAATATGTTAATAAAGAACAGGGTGACACCATAATATGTGGCTAGTGCATGTGAGACAATCTCTACCTACGCCTATATAAGGTCACCAAAAGTACTCACCTAAGGGAGTATTGAATATTAAGATACAAGTGTCAATCACACTCTACATGTAAGTGTAAGAACAGTTCAAACTTTATACGAAATGGTGAGATGAAAAATCATCTAATGAGCTATGATACCCTCATTCTAGAAGCCAACTTTTATGATGTATGAGATGAATGTAATAGAACTTCATACTGAGCACCGATAGGTTAGATATGAGTTGCAATTCCTTCTTTCGGGAAGGCAGAGGTTCGTATAATTCTCATGAGATGAGACTGTCCGTTCAGACGGGTATGGGTCTCCCTAAATCTCCTAGTCTTTGAACTATGCTTACAACATAGGAACTAGCCAGTAGTTTCCACCTAAGCAAGCTACGTATGTTCTTTGTTTCACCTTGGCCATTGACTCCACCTCCTTTGGGTGTAAGGAAGACATCAAATTTTATGATTCTCACATGATCTATGTCGGTTAAAATTGAACTTCCTCAAAGTATGAAAGAAATGAAATGAATGATACCAAAGGATTTTATATAGGATAATCAAGAGGTGAACTAGACTCATGTAATGACACTACGCCATTCTTGTTCAATGCACAGTGAACCCGAAGAGAGTATTAAAAACCATCCCAGGTATAGCTGGTGTTCACACCAGCCTACGAATATATGAATGAATGAAAGGGACTCAGTGTTTGCTAGAGAAGGCTCCCTAGTTGAGGTCCCATTTGTTGAGCCCTCATTTTGGGAAGTCTGAATATTAAGTCCATAATTCCAAGGTCTCATGACATATGAACTAATTAATTGAAATATGATATGTGCTATATGCAATATGTTAAGTTCTATATGCTATATATTATGTGTTGTGTAAAATATGATACGCATGGTTATGCATGTTACTCTCATGGCATGACTTTCCTAGTCCGATTTTGGCAAGTCCATTTACTTGACTTTCTATAACTCATATTTTTAGGAGAGAGATATTCTAAATCATTCATGTCCGTGGTGTGTGCTTGCATATACACATACCTAGTACAACTCTGTACTAATTCCATACATTTATCTACTTTTAGGTGCAGGTGCAGCTGGACGTTAGATCTTACAAATCGACGCAGAAGTTACCCGGATGCAATAGACTAGGCATGAGCTAGTGGAGTATGTTCAACTAGCGTTTCTTTTGTATTTACTTTCAGACGTTGTATTGGTGCAATTTTGGCAACACTATATTCATGACTATATGTTTCATGTGATTATCTTGAGTTAGATGGTTGTTGTGAATGCTTATGAGTGTACCTAGATAGTATTATGTGAGATCAATGTTTTCCAAATTAAAATTTAATTAAACAAAAGTTCAAGTTTTCCGCAAAAATTAGCCTAGATGAAGTAACGACGACATATATACGCTTGTCTGCGATCTCTGAGAGGTCAATGACGCTGGTCTAGTCTGGGGTCTAGACCCCGGTCCTAACAAAGAACAAGTCCATATGGCTAGCAACGTCATTAAAAGTTATGGGTGTTAACTCTTGAGAGGTATTTGTGATCTATTTTAATAATGAAGGGGTATTTAGAATCCTAAAATATAACAGAAGACAGAAGTAATTGATTTCGCATAGTTCAGAAATATTTTTTACCCTTTTCCAATTTTCAGGGAAAAATTAGTTAATTTTTAGCGGTGACTATCCTATATCTACGGATGGACTCGGTGTATGCAAATATTACATTGCTGCATAAGTTATGCATCATGCATGTCCGTAACAATAAATATTATTCCTTCTATCCCAATTTTTATCGTAATATACAAATTTTGAATGTGAATTCACACATTAGATTTTGAATAAAAAATTATGAATTTGTAAGTTCTGAAACGTTGTTATAGCCACAACATTTCATAATTTTTAAACTATACAAAAGAATTATGGTAAAGTAACAATTTTTTTGACCCACAAAATTATTTTATGTAAGTTATATTATGTTGATCACTCTCTTTAAGAGAATGCACACTCTCGTTATGTCAAATAGACTATGTTATAATATCATATTAAGATTGTAGTTTAGCAGAGTAGTAGAATCACTGGTGGAGTTAAAAAAATTTAAAGGGTTTTCAAAATTGAAAGAGTAATTTTTTTTAAGCTACAGGGTGTACAATATATTTATTACAAGTGGGTTTGAAATAAAATTACATATTCATTTCCCCATTTTTTTCTTTAAATTAAAAATGGTTGTTGTATAATTGCCTCAGATAATCAACAACAGATATTTGGAACTGAATTAAACACACTTACCACTGGACTATCAACCTCCACTGATTTATATAACGAATTAACAAATATTATATTGCCTATTCATAGGATTTCACTTTCCGGCGAAGGGTGGTCAGCTGACAACCTTTCATAGGTTGTTGCTCCGCCCCTGAATAGAACGCCCGCATAGTTAAGATATTTTATTGAAAAATCGATTAAATGTAAGTGTCACTTGATGTATTTTCTAAAAGCATATAGATTGTTTCTGAATGACATGTCTTTAGCTACAAATTTCTTTCTGAATGACATGTCTTTAGCTACTTTATAGCTTTAAAAAAGCAAAATTACTAGATTTTTTTATGGTAAAAGGTGAATAAAAAAATCTTAAATTAACTGTGTCAATTCTATATTGAACACCTTTAATTTTGAATCATGAACCCAACATTTTTAAAAGTTAATCTTATGACATGAATTTACTTTTTTTATATAAGGGAACAGACATAGGACGAAATACTATCAAGTGCTTTGTATTTAGTATTTAGCATGTATATTTCAATAATCTGATATTTTTCATTAAAAAGAATATACTAATCGTACACCAACTTTAATTTATGAATTAATCATATGTAATGTTGAAATAAAAGTACGTTTATTATGTTATTTTCTGATATATATGATTTTATTCTTGAATCCGTTTTTATAAGCATGTTATTTTTACAAAAAATATCAATTAATTTTCTGATTGATGTGTTTCTTTTTTATGAAGTTGTTTTCATAAGCCAACTGATAATGTCTACGATAAGTTTCCTTTTCTGATTAACATGCATAACAACAAGCAAGTGGTAGATTTAATCTTAAATAATAATAGATGCGTGTAGACATTTATAGAGACATAATAAGAAATGTCATTAAGGATGTCAAATATTGAATAATAAAGCTAAGAAAAAGTAACTCTAGATTCAATCTTACATCCCTTGTATACTTTTACATTTCATTGTAACCAAGATACTGCTCAAGTAGTTCACGTCAAATTTAGACATTTAAAAAAAATTACAGCAATGTATTGTATCTGATAGCTAGTAAGTCTCAAATATATATATATACCCTTTTCATTGTGTTGTAGGTCTCCTTTTGTTTTACTAGTGTTTAAGATATTTTATATATACCAATATAAAGTAAGATTTGACCTATATATAATGTAATTTTCCAACTAAAGGTGTTCTTCCGACTGTAGTTGCGCCACTGATTATCAAGATACTTCAATTTAATATAAGTGTACTTTACAAATAATTTCTAAAATGCACATCTACCTACTCATTTAAGAGAGTGTATTCTAGATGTGCATTTTCGAGGTTTTATGGAGTGTTAAATGAAGTCAACTTAAACCAAATTAAGATGATAACATGTATATTTTGAAGTTGAAAGTTTAGTTCAATTGAGATCAATCAAGAATTTCTTTTTTATACAAAGTGTGATGAAGTTATCATTATTTTTTAAAATTGATGTATCAACACTTATAATTAACCTTTTCTATGGAGAAAGTTTTCCGTTTTGAATGAACCTAATTTTCAAAGAGATTTAACATAACTATTAGGGAAAAAATCTACATAAGTTCATTTTATTGAATTTGTAAAATTAAGAAATAAAAAAAATTATTTTTGAATAACTTTTTCTATAATAGGCAAATTATATTATTTAACTGGTCTAATATTGTTACAAGTGTAAAACAACCCATCATTATAAATTCAAAAAAGTGTTGAAACAAACAACATTGTTACAGTTAAGTCTGATTATTGTAGTTTTGTTATGTAGGGGTATTTTAGTTCTTGTTGGCTATTTTTTTTTATGGAGAAGTTCAAAGATAAGATCTTGATTGATACTACATTCTGATTGTTACAGGTGTTGTCTTGTTTATGCTTAGGAATTCATTTATAAGGTAGCGCTATCGAATATTAAGAGAATAGAGGCAAAACAATCGGAAACAATTCTTAAGGTGTTATAAACGACAATTACAAACTTCTTTGGAGATTGACCTCGATTATAGTGAAAAATTTCAGAATAGTCATGTAGAGAGAAAGGTCATAAATTTTACTCTCTTGAGAAAATACTTTTTACACAAAATACTTATGGAAATGAAAAGAGCATTTTGGTATTGAATGAAAAAACAAATACCATTAATAAAATGAAAAGAGCTTTTTGGTATTGAATGGAAATTGTCCATTAATAAAATGATAAGAACTTTTTGGTATTAAATTGAAAATGACCATTAATTATATTGAAACAACAATATATCGTAGCCTTTTGATACTTGAATGGAAAATTACCATTAATTATATTAATATATCTAGTTAAAGGTCAAAGAAGGGTTTAACGTGCATATATTTAGTCAAAGATAAAAGTGTAGAATGTACACAAATCATTTGTCGTATTATAATCACAATACAAGAATACATCTAGTCAAAGGTAAAAAAAGAATTAAATATCTCTTTATCTAATAAAAAATAAGAGCGTAAAATGCATCAAGATCCGACTATATACATCCTGTCATAGGCAGAAGTATAGAATGTACACAGAAAGAGTGCTATGTGTGTAGCAAGAAACTCATTACACATAGTAGTCTTAAAAAAAGGAACAAAATTCCCCCATTCTTCCTCTAAATTCCTTTTCTAGGATTCATTGTTAGTACAATAATAAAATTCTAATAGTGCCAATTCGTCCTTCCTGCCTTCCTGGACTCCCCTCCAATTCAACCATGATTATAGGTAAAAAAGAACAAATTATTTGCTCAATTTTGTCCTCAAGTTTTCCCCTTCTGTTCTTCTCAATTTGATTTATAATATTGTTCTTTCTATAACTGTTTTTTGTGAATTCTAACATCAGTTTTAAGTTTATCTTTTTGTCTATTCATGAACATTCTAAGAGAAATTGATCTAGCTAGTTTGTGATCCTTGACGAACGTTTTACAAATTGTGATATACCTGTATAGAACCTATTTGCTTTTCTTTAAAGTATAAAATCATATTCTAAAATCCTCTAAATAGTTAAAGTCTAGATTGCTTATTCTTGATAAGGTTAAAGACTTGAAAGAGTCCAAAAAGTGTCTTATGATTAAAACGTTAGGAAAAGTTATTCAAAGTTTACTTTTATATTTTTTTTTACAATAATTACTTTTTCTTTTTTGATTAGCATTATATTACATATATTTTTTAAGATTTTTTAATTTTAATACTAGTAAAATTTTTGATTTCATGTTCAAAATCTAAAAATTGAAAAAACTTCTTATGTTTATTTATTTTATTACTAAATATAAAATGATTTCAGTAATTGCAAACTTGAACTAGGTGAAAATATTCATTATTTTATCTTTGTAGGTTAAGATCTATAAAACAAAGAGAAATCTAAAACAAAACGTAGAATAAAATATCTTATCCGACAAACATTCGAATTCAAATAATTCTTCAATATCACCATCATCTTCATACAAAATCTAAGAAACATAACAAGAAGTCAACTCTCAAATTTTGAGGACCCTACAAGAGCGATAAATATCCAATAATTAAGGAAAAAAAGAGTCAAAATGCTATAAACCTATAATTCGAGATATTCCAAATAAAGGAATCTTCATATCAAGCAAAGAGTATATGAAAGCTTGTATGATCCTACTAGCAAAATATCGTAACGATAAAATTGTTTGACATTGTTAGGATTAAAGGGAAACCTTGTTGGTGCTTCATATTCTTCATCAAAGTTGAAGAAGAATATGAATCACCAACAAAGCTTCCCTTCAATCATAATAATATGAAATGATTTTACCTACCTAACATTTTCTTAGTGAAATAAGATGAGTGTTCGTGTGTTCTTTCGTTGATATGAAGCTTCCAAGACTTGAAATATTTTGATATGAATTTTTGTTGTGCTTTAACTTTCATTTATTTTTCTTATAGGGGTTATTTTTCATAGTTTTTTTGTTTCTCAATGATCTTAAAGTTGACTTTGTGTTATATTTTTATAGGTTTTCATGAA